TGCCTACGACATTCTGAGCGACCTCGCCCAGGACACCATAAGTTTCTCCACGAGAGATGTCCATGAGATCAGGCATCTCCCCCGCCATCTGTTCTACTGGGATGACATGCTCCCCGAACACCAGCACCTCATTTTCGATAGACTGGAACTCTTCCACGTCGTCGCGAGAGGGAACTGTAGGACGGCAGTCCTATCCCAGACGTCGATGATTCGAGTCTGAGGTTTTCAGAGAGCTCCCCAACCAGCTACCCAACCAGCCTCGACGCGGACGCCACACGCCTCGTGCTCCCGCGCACACCAGCTACCACCCAGACACCAAGTCGAAGAGGCCCCCTAATCGTGAGTCTGGCATGGCAGCTACGCTGAGTCTTCGAAACCAATCAGTGCCGTCATCGACGGCACAGTCGTCTCCTCGACGCTCCTGTGCGTTTTTCCTGTCGAGGACATTCTCGCCCATGCTCTTTGCGAGGCTGGCGTCTCGGCCGACCGTGCCCGAGCTTGATCTTGGATCGAAGAAAACGACCCAATGGATCCCGACTGGACAACCACCGCCACCGAGCGAATCCTGGAGTGGCTCAGTAGGACCGACACTGTCATTGAGCCCCACGCCGATGACGGCTCCTTCGACACGTACGATGGCAAGGAGGAAAACCACACCAACACAAAGGAACACACTACAGACAAACAAAGCGTCGTCGAAGACTCTCAGTCGGACCTGGGTAGCACTGCCTACAAGTCAAAAGCGACGGGACCTACACCGCCAGTCCACTCGACCCAGCAGGCACCTGAAGTCGACTGGGCAGTGTTTAGTGAGGCAAGTAGTTTTCACGGGCCGCCCGACTACGGCGGACTTTCCATTCGCTGCACGAAGGCTTCTTGCCTCACGGCCCGCCCAGCCCAGCTTTCAATTTTATTACTTCATTCCACTTAGCAGTATTTTACTAGTGGATGGCTGTAGTTCTGTTCCTTCCTTCAGTGAAGCGAAGACTCGCCTGCATGTATGAGGTTGAAATCAACTGTAGCGACGAGAAAGTGCGAATGGTTCTTCCAGCATCAAGTGGGAACTTTCTTAGGGTAATTGTTTATAAATGGTGCCAAACAACACAGTAGCGGTGTTTATTTTAATTTTTATTATATAGAACGTGATGATCCCCGAGTACTAGACGCAACATGTATGCTCGGGCATCAAACTAAATAATGTAAGTAGATGTAGTGAACAAGAGTTGGAGCTAGGAACGTGTGCAACTTCTGACCAATTAGAAGTATTAAGACGTTTCTAGGTTCCTTGTATTTCACGTTATTGGATATCTGAGATTACTTTAAACAGTTTTTTCTAAAATGGCTGTCTAGCATTTCAATTAGACAAATTATTGGAAAAACCGAAATAAACCGGTTTTTATGAACGTGTAACCGGTAACCCAAACCGTAAAAATTAAAACCGTAAAAAACCGAAACGAAACCGTTATCAACAGGAAGCTGTAACCGTAACCGTAACCGAAACGTTATATTTTTCGGTTTGAGTCCCTGATTAGAATACCGATGAACGAGAAACGTTTTCATAACGCTACTTGTAATCGCGAATTCAAGTGGACTCGCTCAGAGAGGAGGGGCGAAACGAAAATGAATTTCCATGTTGTGTTATCCCATCCACCCATCCGCCGAACTATCTCAGTATATACGGCCTTGACGCATCTTGAGCATGAAAAGTTGGTTGTTATTCAGGAAGCGTGTGTGTGGGATGACGAAAACTGTCGAAGGTATAAGCTTACGGGCTCTGGGGTTGATGACGACGTCAACGAGGCACAAAATAATCTTGCTAGCCCTTCCCGGTCCGGAAAAGGTAGGGCCGGTGACAAGCTACGTGGACAAACTCGTAAAAGACTGGCTCGAGCAAAAACTATTTCGGGTGACCATGACCAAGTAAGTGCACATGAACAAGCCTATTTCACCCGTGCTGGTAAAAATCAGGCAACGACATCTTCTAACTCGCAGGCACTGTCAGAAGCGTCATAGCTACGCGCAAGAAGCAGTGACTTACATGTTACTTTTAGAGCGCAGCTCTTAGGCGCCCGTTTCCGGCTTGAGCGGCGTCGCCGTCGCCGTCGGCGTAACCGTGAGGTCACGTGACCCCCCCTTTGGGGTCATGTGACCCCGGGAAAGAGGGGGAGGAGGAGTAGCAGGCAGGATCACGAGGTGAAGAGGAGGGAGGAGGTGTATACCCTCCCCTCGGTACCCTTCCCTCATCCTCCTCCTCAAGAGCTGCGCTCTAATTCGGCGTTACAGGGAGTTGTAAACGGCTTTCATTTGTTTCCATCACTTTCAGTTACGATTACTAACATGAGAAGTGTTATGAATAAACGAGATGAGCTTAACTCTGTTGTAAGCGCAAAGAATACAGACCTAAGTTTTCTTACGGAAACATGGCTCAGTAAACATGTCTGCAGCTCTGAAATTTTCCAAGAAGATAAAGCATATAATGTATATCGTTTTGACAGAGACGGTAGACGTGGGGGTGGCACACTCATAGCTGTATGTATCACAGATCATACCTTCCTTTTGCGTAGGTGTTGCTTCCGGTCTAGAAATTGTGTGGGCTTGTATCACTTTAAATAACACAAGAATTTTACTGGGTGTCTGCTACCGCCCCCCAAACAGTACAGTGACATTTATTGACGATTTGCATGCCGTTACGAATTCTATTGTTTGCCAATATCCTAGTTCTCCTATTTTTGTATTATGAGATTTTAACTTCCCTGATATTATGTGATCTGACCTACCTATTTTCCACCTGTTTCAACTCAGAGTCAGCAATTTTTTGGATCTGTGTACGTATTTTAATTTGACACAGCTGGTAATGAAACCAACAGGGTATGCCAATGATACAGCGAACACTCTTGATTTAATTCTGTCGACACACCCTGAACTTCTATCTTCCCTTACTTAAGCTTAAGCGATCACTCATTGTTAAATTTTGGTCTCAAAGTTGCTCCCCCAATCAATATTAAAAAAGTCAAGCTTATTTCTGACTACAATAAAGCCGATTTTGATCTTATTAACCAAAAACTGTGCAGCTATCTGGATACATATCTGCCACAATTTGATCAACGAAGCCTGCAGAAAAATTGGAGATTATTTTGTTTAAAGGTGAACGAACTGATTGATGCGCCTGTGCCCGTCAGGCGTATTCAATCTGATGCTAAAGCACGTCTTGGTATGCTAACACCCTAAAACGTCTTTCCAATAAAAAACAGCGACTTTTTCGTTTAGCTAAATTACGTAACACGACTGATCGGTGGGAAGCATACTTTGCGACTGAGGCCGAATATTCCTAAGCCGTATCTGACGTCAAAGATATTTTTTAACAACACTTTACTGAGTCTATTGTTAAATGACCCCAAGAAGTTCCGGAAGACTGTTAATATAAATGAAGATGGCTTAATTTTTCTTAGCGTCCGTCAGTGTTTAATAATTTTTTAATAGTTTTTTGGTAGGTGATAGAAATGCATTTTATGACGTTCCAGGTTGTGAGTTTAGCCCGATGTTTCCAATTGCCATGGAACCTACTGGAATTGTAAAGTTAATTGATTCTTTGAAAGTATCACCGTCATGTGGATGTGATAACATTACCTAAAAATTTCTCAAACGAACTAAAATGTACTCATCCTTTTTTTGGCCGAACTTTTCCAGCCATTTCTTGAGTATGGAGCGCTCCCAATAGAATGGAAAACTGCGAAGGTGGTTCCACTGCATAAGTCCGGTAAGAAGCATTCTCCATTAAATTTTCGGCCCATTTCACTAACAAGTATGCTCTGCAAAATCATGGAGCACATACTGTACTCTCACATTTTTAATTACCTAGAATCCAATCCAACAGACGATTGTTTTGCGTAACGGGGATTTCATTTCATTTCATTGAAATCCCCGTTATGGGTTGGCCGGAGCGGGTCACGTGAACGGTGTGACGTCGCCGCGTCGTCTGCTGCATGATGCCGCTCAGGCAATTTTTAAAACAAATTACGTTATTACATGGCACATAATTTAGCGCAAATTATTGTAAACTGTTGCTTTATTATGTCAAAAACTATTGTCGTTCCGTACAACCCCAAAATAATCAAGAAACAGCGATTTTCTCACGTTCCCCATGCATTTGTGGCCGGAGTTGGAACCCCCGGGCGTTCGCCGCTAGTCGCCGAGGTATGGCGTTCTAGATTGTGCTACTCTGTGCTACTCTAAGGCCCTACGCTACTCTGCTCCTAAGGAGCTATATAGTGCTCTAGCCTGTTTCATAAAGTGTATCATCATCAGTCGCTGCGAGACCATTGCTTTACATTGGAAAGCTATTACTCTTCCCGTCTGGACCATCAAAATAAAGTTGGATTAACACGTTGCCAAACGAACACTTTTTTTTAATTCATTTATCCCGCATACATCAAACGACTGGAACCACCTTCCAGCAGATATCGCAGCTATACCCGATTATTTTCTTTTTCGCCAATCTTTGTTTACATTTCTGTTTGATGAGCCGACACGAGTAATTTTAATTTGTTTATCTTGTTCGCAACAGATGTTGCTTACAGTTAGTAAAGATGTTCTTTCTTTGAGATTGCGCCGGGACCCGACGACGGAGGCAGCTGATGGTCGCTGACGGAAGAGAAAACCAGACAGGACTCCGCGGATAGGAGGGAAAAAAAACACGTCTATTTACAAGCCAAGCTAATTTTCGAATGTCGCCGCAGAAGGTTACAGCACGTGCTGTCCTTGTCTTCTTCTCTTCTCGAAGCCTCCCCTGCCCCAGCTCGCACGAGCGCCGCCAGTTCACCCACACACAGGGGCGCACGTGCAAACGCCAACACGCAATGGAAAGAAAAGGAAGCTCGGTCCTGTTCCCGCGTCCACCCACGGTGATGGCGGGGCCGATTCTCACACAGTTTTTGCCGATCGGAGTGTATTTTTGGTATTTGAATTTCTTACCGCATCTTTCTCTGTTTTGTTCATTTTGTTTTATTTTTGTTTGCTTTGCCCCTCCCCTCTACAATGCTCCGGCGCTTGAGGGTATGCACAATAAATAAATAAATAAGTAAACACGAACGTCTAATTTGCTTTTTATTTTTTCCACTCTTTTGCTAAACATCCAACGTCTCATTTGATTCTGTTTGCTCATTAGCATTTTGTTTTCAACCCTCTGTGTTTTACAGCGGAGCTGTTAAGGGCTAGTGTCCCCAGTTTTGTGTCCGTGGACAACTAAATCTCGACACAACGCTTTGGACAGCTACCGCCATCTATGAGTGACGGCGGGAACCAGACAGCCGGCCGCCCGATTGTCTGGTTGCCGCCGTCGCTCATAGATGGCGGCACATAATACAGCTCCGCTGCTCTTCCTTCTTCATCAGAGTGAAAAGGCTGAAAAATTTTAAGCTAAAATAAAAATTAGAATTGAATGTATTACTATTTAATAGTGTTTTTTGTTTTGTTTTTTCAACTGAAGATTTTTTACATCCCTTCGGGCGAGGCGATACGCTTGTTGAGCGGGGAAAAAAGTAAAGTAGTGGCGAAAAGTAGAACAGGTAAAGAAATAACGTCACACCAAGAATGGAAAATGCTTTATTATCATTATATTTACTATAATACAGCTACACTCCGCCTATAACACACTACAGCTAAGATTTTTTTTTTTTTTTTTTTGCGTTTTGTTGACTTTTTGTTCTTTTCCTAGCTAAGACCGAATTCAGACTCGAACGTCCAAACTTTTTTACCTTGACGACTTTGAAGGTTACACGATCCGTTTTGTATCGTTTGCTCTACAGGTTTCTTTTCACGCAGTGCTCTTTTCTTTGTTGTTGTGTTTTATACTTTTACTTACACGATGCCTGAATGCCGCTTGTCAGTTTGTTCAGAACAGCTGTGAGCAAAATAATCAAAGGTTGCCTTGGTCTAAACTTTGTCGATGATATCGCGAATACACTTTTTTTTTTTTTTTAATGATCCTGCTATCGCGGTTCTAAAATCGCGAAATTCTTTTTGTCGAGGCAAAATAATAGAAGTGAAACTCATTTCAAATCTAGACGATATTATATGAATGAACTACGCGCGCTTATTTGTTGTGCACGGCTCGCTCAATGTTACGACGTGCTGCCGTAGCGAGCCACCTATAGTGATTCGGATTTTAGAAAGAAAATAAAAAAAGTACCAATAAACTATTTTGTTTGGGTAACTTTCGCGATGAACAATCTAAGGCAAAAGAGCTGACAGCCATAAATGAACTTGCAAAACGTAGGCATAAGAAAAAATATCGATGCCAGGCAGAAGAAACAATAAATCTTCCAGCCAACTCAATGTCTCCACGTGCTTGCCCTGCACGCAGTCGTGGATAGTTTGTCCGCTGCGGAAAGCAATGCTCGCAAAGTTGCGAGAAAAAAAAATTAAAATCCCATATGAAAATGTGTACGTTTTTACGAAATAGGGATTAATAGCTGCGCCAGTTGTGAGGTGTGCTTAAAAAAATAATTGTAATTCGTTGTCCGACTTTTTTCCTCCAAAAAGAGGGAAAATTGGCTGTATTGAATAATGGTTATTAACTCGCTCTCTCTCTCTCTTTCAAAAAATAAGTTATGCTTATGCACTAAGCTCAAAGCATATGATGGACTATTCCTTTAGACACTTTTTAGTTCCTTTGCTTGAGCTGAGCTATAACTAAATAAAGTTCTAGGCCGCAGGACTACATACCTTTATCATTTTCAAACTGAACGATGCAAATTCGCACCAAATGATCTCCCGTCAACCTGCGATATATTTGCGAGTGATAAATTAGAGGTTTGTTTTCCAGGGTTTGGATATGTTACAGGGAGTCGTACAAAACAATTTTAAACGTGTATCAGTGGATTTTCTAGTTTCTACTTAAACTCCATATAAGATAACATACAGGGAAAACCTGTCTTTACGGCTTGTACCTTCCACTTCTTTCCTTCGTCCGTGTAGCATTCGGGCTGTTTCAAGATGAACTCGTACCAACTAGTCCAGTTATCCTCTCTGTCTTTATGATTAGCAGGTGCGCTTCTAAAAATAGTTTGTTTCCCATCTAAGCTGTATTGCACAGAGCGCATGTTGAAAGGAATGTCTGTTTCCAACCAGTCACTTTTAACGCGGCGCTCTGTCTGGAATGAAAACGTGTATATATTAAGAAGCTGATCACTTTAACGAGACCCTAGACCATTGCAAGGGTCATCGTTTTGGCAATGGACTGAAATGCATGACGGTGTCGGGACGAGATCTGGGCGAGATCCGGGCACGATCTGGGAGGGATCCAGACTGGTTTTGGGAAGGATGTTGCCAGAATCCTGACAAAATCTGGGGAAAATCCAGGCTGGATCTGGGTTGGTTCCCGACAAAATCCGGGAAGTATCCGGGCTGGATCTGGGGAGAATCTGAGTACGATCCTGACGGGATCGGGGCTGAAACTGGACGGGATCCTGAAAAGATCTGGGAAGGATCCAGGTTGCATTCGGGCCAGGATCCCGACAACATCCGGCCGACATCCTGTCAGGATCCGGGGTAGATTTGTGAAGGGTCTGGGCGGGATCCGGACAAGATCCGGGTGATATGCTGGCAGGGTCCGGACTGAATCCGGGAGGGATCCGGACGGGATTTCGACAAGATCCGGGCGACATATCCCAGTACGATCGGTACTGGATCCTGGAAAGATCCTGGTGGGATCCTGTCAGAATCCGGGCTATAGATTGGTGAAGGGGTCCAGGCGGGATCCTGACAAGATCCGCGGGCAGAATCCGCGGCGTCTTAGAGGAACTTTCCGGGGAACTCCGGGTCCGGGATCTGCGGTGCTTCCCCGTCTTCGGGCACGGCGTCTTCGTCGTCCCGATTGCTCAGTTTCTTGCTCATGTCGGAGGTCAGCTTGGGGATGCAGGAGCGCGGGATCAAGAAGGTCGAGATGTTGAACAGGTCCAGGAACACCTTGTAGCGGTCGCTGCACACCAGGTGTTCAGTTCGATTAAAAGATGAACGCGTTTATCGCCCCGAGGTACTAGATCATTAAGTCGGGGTAACACTACTAATACATAATAATAATATAAAATATCCGCAGATAATCCTGTCATTAGAGAGTTTTAGGCAACCGTTTTTGACACATCCGAATCGGTGCGATGGGCCTTCCGGTACGGACTGCGCATGCGTTACCGTAGAAGGCTCGCACATGCGCAGTTCGTACCGTATCGGATGTGTAAAAACGGTTCCCTAAAACTATCTAGTATGTCTGCCGCGAACACATTTGCATGATATGTCAGCAGTGTTAACACACCAGTAGATAGGGCTGAACTGGCTATAGTAAACCAGATTATAAATCAAAATAATTTTGTTTTGCGCAAAGTTACTGAATTTTTTTTTATTTAGTCCTCGCCATTATTTCTACCCTGAAAGGCTCTACAGGCAACAGTGAAACGTGACGACAGATATTGTAATATCGACAGTACAACCTGCTATCGACGGATTACATGAACTGTAAGTATGTGAAATGAATGCTAAAAAAAAAACTACCTTCAGTGAAGAAAAAAAAATGCTTAATATATTTTGTTGTTAAAACGCCCGCTCGACCTGCAAATTTTACATGTGACATCGTTCCACTTAAAAAGCTCGGAGAAATTTGCATGTTGATTTTGGAATTACCTTATTTTTTGCTATTTTCCCAATTACTAAAATAGCACGCTTTAAGAAGTAGATCCCCGGTGTTCCGATAATGTACTAAGTTTTAGGGTGAACTCAAGAAATGTCTTTATATGAGTTTGTTGTAATCAGTTTGGTGTATGGGCGTCCATAGAGCACCAGCCTCGGCGGTTTGTTGGCTGACTTCAGTCTTGAACGAATTACTGTTTCGACTGGTAACATGTTGCCAAAGGATCATGGCTCACTGTGAATTATTTTTACTTTTTGAACCATCAACAAGGGTACGGCAGTGGGGCCGTAGTCAACCTGTGCTTTACGTGACAGTTATATTGTGAGTCTGAATCAATTAACATGGAAATGAGTTCATACAGATAAAAAATATTGTGAGTTTATAATTGCGTAAATTTTAGACTTATATATCATTAAAAAAAGTATAGTTTTTTGTGTTATCGAGTTAATTCACCAGCTCGTCTGCATATTTTCACTGTCTTCGTTACCCCTAGTATAATCAGAGTTTAAAACACAGGCACGTTCAATGTAACAGAAACCATTTCTGACCGCCGACTCCCAAGTTTAGCCTGGTATCGACAGTATTCCATAACTCCACCCACCTGTAATCTTCTCGATCGTAACTATGTGTACGCAGCGGGATAATATCGTGTAATTGAGTCAGCAATAATACACGTTGGCCCACCTTAGCTCATAGTAAATTTATCGATGGAATCGTTGGCTTTGTTTTAAACTACTCTGAGCTGCAAACGAATACAGGCCTGGGCTCGACCTACCTGCTGTGATTGTGGTTTATTTATTAGTATTGGTTGAGGTTAATGGTCGATCGAGTTCTGCAAAAGTCTAATGAGTTTCTGGAACAGAGCATACCTGAGCTTACTAGAATGGAAATGGATTCATACCTGAGCGTGGACCGGAGGTACTGGTAGCCCGAAGAGCCTCCAGTTCCGATTTGCTGCGACCCAATCATGCGCTGGACCATCTGCACGTGGTTGTCTGCGGGAAATATAATCGAAACCATCAACAAGGCAGGACCTCCAGGCAACCCGTTTAGGAACAGTGAGTACATTACTCCATTTCCACGTCTACCTAGAGGACCGCGGAAGCCTCGGCATTTCGGTATAGGTGTTACGATGATCCACAATGTTATGTTTGCACGACTGATATTGGATATGCGGCGAACATTTTGACTATTAAAGCCTAGAGTGCCATTCAGGTCGCGTCACACGTTATTGGTCCCGCGCGGAAACGTTTCCCCCGCTATGTTTGGGGGGGAGATCGAATGGACCTTCTTGGAAAGTACCGCGCGCCCTCGAGCGGCGCGCGTGAGGCATCATGGGAACAGCGAGGATCGCTGCTCTGTCGTCTGCTGTTACCGCCGTACTGCCTGCGAGAATCACGTTGCCTTCGTTCGCGTTGGGTCCCGGTGTACGGCCGACGACAACCTTTACAGCGCCCTGCACGTCTGTCCACTGCCCTTTTTGAATGGGCCATCGTTCTGGATGTGTTACCGTTCTTTTTTTGAATGGGCCATCGCGTGTGAGTCACGTGCCAAAAGAGGGAACTATCACTCAAGCATCCAACGTGTTTTTTTTTTTTTTTGCTTTTTCTTTTTTTGCTGCGGGAATAGATTTTTTTTACAAATCCAGTGACATTTAATGGCTCAAATATCAGTCTAAATATACTGCATCTCAGAAATGTCTGCAGTAAAGGCAAAGGTGCCGGCGCGTGAAGCTAGCTCAACAGAATGATTTTGTTTGTTTGTACGAGAACGCGTACACAGGAGGCACTTGCGAAAGCCACGCGCTCGTGCCCATGCCTTTCTCTGCACTGTAGATGTGTGTGAGGAGGTTCAAATCTAGTACCTGCTAGTCAACGGCAAAGGTGCAAATTTTCGGTGTTCTTTGATGTGCAGTTATTTCTCTATTTGTTTGTTTCGATGGTGTTAAGGAACTACACTCCGATCGAAGCGCTTAGTTAAGTTTTAAACTCTCGATAAAATTATGTACATGCTATTGTCACGAGCTGTCTGGGGCGTGTCGAAGCTGAGTATTCTAAGGATTTATATAACAGCCTCAAAAGCGTAGCGCGTACAAGCTTATAAGACTAGCCACAATGACATGGAACGACAATACAGCGAACTAACGTCTAAAATGTGCAGGCTGCGCGCCGGTGCCGGTCTTCAGATTCTTGCTTCACCAGTCATCAAAAAGGCCGTCATTAGCACGAACAGATGATATTCACTAAAATGATGATAGTTATCGAAGTGGCCAGTCTGAATATCGGAAAGGTGAAACTGCAGCCAATGCCACAAGCACGAGAGAGCTCGAGGTTGCTGCTTTGTAGCGTTCTTCCTGAGAACGCGAGCACTCGCGCTAGAAATGCACGTTTCAAAACCAGGAGCGCGGGCTAGCTCGCGCTTGTAGCTTTGGCTAGAGCTACTTTGGCTGCAGTCTCAGCTTACAGGTAGTCCGAGGAGGTTTCTGAGATCGCCTACATATGGCGATAACTTACTCTGCGCGCTGTAAGCATCCTAGAAATCCATAAATCATAAAAATTCGGGGCCGATTTTCCTATTAAAAAAAGCTATCAAAGATAGAAATTATCTCCGGCGATGGGAGGAGCATTGTGCCGGCAGCCAAGACCAATTAAAATGGGACATTTCGTTGAGATTGCGAACGTTGTCACTATGTGTATGCTTTTGTAGATGATAGAAGCAAACAAGAGTAGTCGAAAAATTTAATTTTTCTCGGAGAGGGAACATAATACTGCAATCATCGTATCAAAAACAACAATCTGTCTCTTTTTTTTTTTTTGCGGGAGTGTTGATTGATTGAAAACGTTTATTGACCATAAACTAAGGGATGAGGAATAAAGGGCTGTTTATACTCCGACGTTGAGAGCAGTGAATGCAGCGTAGCGCAGAACGCGCGCCTTTCATTGGCCGGCAAACAGAAGCTCGATATCTGCGACCAATCAGTATCTGTGCGTGCTGCGCTGCGCCACGCCCGTCGACGTTACATTGGAGTATAAACGTACCTTAAGGACGGTGTCGGTGGTGACGGCGACCTGGACACTTTCGGCACTCCGTTTGGTCATCAGCTCTCGAGCGCTCGAGCGCGCGCTTGCGGCAACGCGCTGTGCACTTTCGAGATATCACTTCGCGTTTCCACCGGTCGGAGGCGCGTGACTGACAGTGGTCCTGGTTTTGGAACATGCTCCTTCCATCGCCGAAGACGAAAGCGGTGTGTTGCGATCTGTGATTGTTTTTTTTTCTTTAATGGGGAAATCGGTCGCATATGGTCATGCTTTAGGGATTTCTAGGATGCTTAGAGCCAGCAGGAGTAAGTTATTCCCATATTTAGGCGATCTCAGAAACCTCCTCAGCGCACCTATAATGATGAACAGAGTAGTTGGTACATTTTATTTTCCTTTGCCAATAAAAATAAATAAATAAACGCACCTTGTTTTAACAAAGTTTGAAGACCGTTAGCTCGCCTGGATGCACGGATGGATTAAGAATGATGCCGCAGTTCGGGCAGTGGCGTGCGCCACCTAGCATGCAAAAGCTCGACATAGGCTAGACTTGGCTTGGCTAAGTGGCCCGACACCCTCACAGGTCCCATAATGCCCCGGAGCGCTCACTGGTGGCGCTGGTGTTTCCAGAAATGTCCATTGGTATATTTATACAGATTGATGGCCAGGTGACATCGTGACTCGACGTTTGCTAGTTTGCTAGTGCCGGCTAAACTATAGAGTCAGGCTAAACCAGTCACACGCAGGAAGAAAGCGCAGGTTCACGGCGCATTCACTGCGCGTCGTCGGTTTAGCCGCGCTGATAGCGAACCCACAAAAACATTCACTTTGAGAGAAAAAAAACAACAAAAAAACAGTGACAAGAGGACTCATTAAAAAGGGAACAAACTCATCACCGTCTGCAGCTCGCCTGCTCAATCACTCTTATTTCTGCGCGACGATCAGCGCCGTGACGAAGCACTTTTGGCGCCGTTTGATTAGCTGCATCGGATCGCCCTCCCGAGGTCGGGTGGATGGATGGATGCAAATGACTGTACCCTTTATAACGGGCGGTGGCTCGCGCCACCTAGGCAACAAACCAAAAGTATATAGGATTTATCGTAGCGCTGGATTCTCAACGTTACCTACGGAAAGAGCACGTGACACAAATAGGACACGAGTGCCGAGACAGCGTTGGGCTGGAAGTGGTCTTCCAAGTTCCCACTGTCAGAACACCAGTTCTAGCCGATCGCTAACTCAGCACTCGTGTTAGTCTGTGCCCCGTGCCGAACCACTATTTTGTTTCCCGGCAATCAAACAACCGCTCTGCCGAGTGGTTGCTAGATTTCGGCAACGTGGTTCATGTTGACGACAGGCTACAAGAATTCGATTGGAATGTGCCAGCTAAGACAGACATTTAAAAATGGGATTCATCCGATGGAAATGCGTTAGCATTGGTTCTTTCTCGCCCCCTTTTCACCCATTTTCCATTCGTTTATTACCGCTTTGCTGTCGTTTATTAATGGATTTCCTCTTCACTTTCCCCTCCACGCCTCCGTCGCTCTGGGACACGGTCAGCCTAGAGTCACTGTATGGGTTCCCAGAGTAACGTATTCCTTTTCTTTTTGCGTGTTGCCGAAAAAATACTCACTCTAGCCAATCATGTTTTGACTTGGTGAGCATCATGGGACGGTAGCGATCACGTGGCACAAGCACCACACTGACTCTGTACTTCGTTTTCACCAGAAGCCAGGGGCTCTAACCTGGACACTTGGCAAAAAAGACGGGGCGAGGAATTCGACGGCCGTGATTGGCCCAGCGCCAAGGTCAAGCGGCGCGCCGTCCAATCACGGCCGCCGGATTCCTCGCCGACTTTTCCACCAAGCGTCCGGGTTAGAGCCCCAGAGCGCAGTCAAGGGCTAAACGACACGCCAACACATCCGCGCGCGCACACTAAAAACGCACAGTGACGGCGCATTGACTAGGTTTAGCCGATAATAACATAACGCGCAGAAAGACGATGAAAGCCGTGACGTAGCGCTTTTGGGCGCCGCTTGGTCAGTCTCATCGACTTCGCGCTGTCAGTGCGGTGGGAGCTAACTCGTCGAAGCAGTCGCACCTCTTGCCACGTGGTCACGCTTTCGCCCACGTATACGCGTGGAGAGCGGGGCCGGGTGACGAAAGGAAGGCGGCCGATTGGTGCCGGCAAGCGCGTAGCACCTCCCGCACTGTCAGCTTATAGGGCTGAACGGAGTGCGTCCATGCAGCGTCACGTGACGGGGATAGCCAAGGGGCGCGCTTACATCTCCACTTGGTGACGAGGGAATCGACGTCCATGAGCAGTGTGAGCAGGTAGTAGGGCTGGTGGAAGCGCGGGTAGTCCCTGTACAGCGAGATCATCATGGCACCCTGCATGGCCAGGTGGCTCAGACGACGTTCCCCTGCAACAGACCGGGCGATGGAGGGTGAGTTGGCCCTTTTGCGTGGCACTCTTAAATGCACGTGTCTCGCGTGCACGGTCACGGGGGGGCAGTTCGAAGTCGAGCGCTTGTTCCGAATACCGAAGCCGCTAAAATGAAATGGGTCAATTGAAGCAGTGCCAAAAGCGCAAGTCACCGGGCCTTCCCTGAACGTGACCAATCAAACAGCGTTGAAGGCGCGCCATCATGTTTCCGTACATGTTATATCGTCCCTGAATCAACCCAGCGACTTGCGCTTTTGATGCTCCTTGATTAGTCCCCATTAGTCCCCGTAGCGTTGGCTGCGCTTAGAGGAAGTATAGCTAGTTCTTAGGGCACATCGAAAAAAAAAAAAAAAACTATTGCCGTGAACGTTATGTTTATTGTTCTTTCGAAACTCATTGACTCCGATCTGCAAAAGAGGGCACTCGTACTATGCTGTCTGGTGTTCAGAGTGCTTGTCAACTGATGTCGCCCAACATATTGTTCGCGCAGCGTTGTCGACGACAATGATTATTTCTTTTGGCGTGTCATCACGGATATACTGGTACATTCAATTCTGCCATTGGAAAACACTAATGTTACGCTATTTCCGATAATGTGCTCACCCTGGTACTTTCTGATATACTTCACGAAATTGTGTTGAATCTGTGTCAACATTGTGTCGAAAGCTGATTCCTCAGGAAAAATACTAAACGCCATTTCAAGTAATTTTTTTTTTTTTAATGCGGTAGCATTTTTGGTGCCACCAAACCGTGAGATCGTGTGCGCCCGTCTGTCTGTAAGCACCTCGACAGCTAAATTTTAAAGTGGCTTTTCTCCGCCAAATTTAGCGGTAAGCGTGTCCACGCTAAATCTGCCGGCAAATCCAGAATCGTCAGTACATTTGACGCAATGTCGCGTGATGACGTCGCACGACGATGTGACGTTACACACATCAATGTCACATGACGGCAGGTCACATGACTCAGCGTTATTACGTGACATGACGTGATGTTACAGTGACGCACTCACGTGACTTGTCGTCACCGACTCCCCAACGTCACACCGATGTAACCCGGCGGGTAAAGGGTCCCAGATGATATTCGCATTACATCTCCACAGCGACCAGAATTGGAATGGAGAGTTTTCTTTCTTACCACCGAAAGCAATTATTAATAACCCACTGCACCGTCGGTTCATAACGCTAAATTCGCACGACCTTGGCGTTTCAATCATCGATTCGACCTTCCTATTAATAAACGGTGACACTAACCACTGTCGTTCGAGCGAGCTAGCTCCGTTGAGTGCGCTTCTCCACAAACAAAAGGATACTGCGGAGAAACGAAACGCGCGGAGTGGGCACTTCGTTCTTTTTTGTTTGTTTTTCTCATATTGGCCGCAGCGCAGCCACGTGTTTAGGGGAAAAGCACTCCTTCAGAGCGGGCTGGGGAACACGATCGGGCGGCAGGGATGTTAAACGGATAAAGTCATGTCTCGTTAATATGGACGTTTCGCAGTTTCCTTCGAAAAAATGGTCCATTAAGGGAGTCGCTTATGATAACCAGACAAAAATGGACCTATGCACCCAGTGCGTCCCCGAAACTCTTTCTAACGCGGCCCATGTCAACGAGACACGACTCTTTTTGTGAATATCGATGAGGGAACTTTGCCTTGCAGTAAAAAAATTTCAAAACGAAAGGATTATGCAAGATTATGCGCGAGGCGACGGTGGCCCGACATGGCGCGGGCTTTCGTGGCCCCAATTTTGTTTTCAATGTTGAGATGAAAAAAGAAAAAAATAATTAATACATAAGCGTTTTTGTATAGCGAGATATTGTTTTTAGTCGCCTCGACTAGGTTTAGTTTGACTGCGCTGTAGCTTCGATTTTATGTTACATTCCTCCTTGACCACTGTTCGTAAACACATTCAGAGATATATATTATTAAATGAAATGATTAATTGTGTCAGCCTTAAACGGATGGCAGCTTGAGAATAGTTTTAAGGATTCTATTGTTTTTGTTTCTTCGTATATTTCAACACCTGTCTTTCCCACATGCCAATTGCATATCAAAACGTGCATGTTAAATGTTGATATCCACGATTTACTAACAAATGTTTTTGTCAACCTATATTAGTTAAGCAACTTTTTCAACCTCCAGAAATTGATTAAGACTTCTTCAAATTGGTATTCAAGATTTTTGCACTCTATCTTTTTACAGTCAAATATTAATCTTTTGTTTACCTTCGATTCCGTACATAAAAAATCGCCGTCCACATGCGCTGCTATGTCCCCCATCGATCAACAATGCATCTTCTGCAATGAGACTCCTTAAACCAAGAACGATGGTTCTAGACATTACATTCTCGTTGCTATGCATGGTGCGCGCACCAATAAGTAGTTGGTCCATTTTGGAAGGAATTAGACTGTCGGCTGTGTAATGGGTGCTAATGAGTGGTTCCATTACACATGAAAAAGCAAAGAATGAATGTTTAGAGATAGTGAAGTAAACTGAATAGTACTAAAATAGTATTCGCAATGGAGCGAATGAGAATGATATGTAATCCCGCGCCTCAAAATATATTTCGCTGTAAAATAGATTTTTAAATACCCCAAAACGTGATCCAGAATTACCAGGGTCGGTAAAATCACTATAGTGGGTAAAAAATTAAAATTGTACTTTTTAATTTTATCGGGAGGAAAACACAGTAATTCCTTGAAGTAGTGATATTGTAAAAAGTCTTTCAGAATAAAAAAAATAAAAAACATATTTTCAATCAATTACAATGTTTTCTACTAAAAACATCATTAAATATTAACTAAGAACAATTCATTTGTTCTAATTAAAGAAACAAACTAACCAGCTGCTTTTGTAAATATCCCTTAGAGGATACAGTAGTGGGGGAGAATGAAGAGGCTTGCTGGAGCGCTGTGCGATTCATAAATTGTTTTCAGTCAAGAGAAGGGTAAATGTTATTCGTTATTCCAAGCTTGAATATCTTAATTACCTCTGGACACAAGGGCGTTGTGTTTGGAGACGTCGAAAAGGCTGTCGAACGTTTCCTGTAAACATAAACAGTTAAACGAAACGTTAAAATTTTGAATGAAAATAGAACGAACACGAATCTACAGGGTCCGATCGTGAAAACGAACCACCGTTTTTGGACCCGTACGAATACACTATAAATCGCGGGAAGACGAAGCGCCTTGTAAATTTGACGCTAGCGGCAGTAATTAAGTATAAAAAATTGAGAACATAATGGCACCTGGATTCAAAAATAAAAAAAAAGAAGAAAACATTTTTATGAGCCTGCCCAATATTCGTCAAACCAAGGAATGTAATTATAAGCGCCTGCAAAATTCATTTCAATTAAAAGAAATACTTGTTAACGAGAACAATAGTGTTCTCTTTCTTGCTAACAAAGTATTTTCACAGAAAATAATGCCACAGGCTCCCGGTTTCATTTCATGGTTTGGCGAAAATTAGGCCCAGAAAGACTTGGCCCTAAAACAAACTTTTTTTTTTTCTCTTTCTTTGTTTTACTCAGATAGCGCCCTGTTCTCAAACTTTTGCATTCTTTCACCACTGTAAGCACTTACGATATGATTAAACACAGAGGTAAAAAGCAGGGACACCGTACAAATGCGCTCACCTCGAAGAGTATCGCCGCTGCTAGAGTAACATTCACGCGAGAGTTGTAAAATATGTGCGAGGCGTACTTGTGCGGGCCGAAAAACGAGGTTGAATTTTTTTCGATCGGACTCTGCCCATTCACAGGTGATAAAAAGTAGAGCGAACCCTTTTCTTGGCCACGCTGTCAAGAACTGCCTGGTCGCCTTGAGCCTGAGAGGGAAGAACGGAGAGTCAAGCAACCCTGTACGAGAACCACGGTAATGAGATTGGCAGCCTAGAGCTTAAAAGTCGAGTGCGGTGTACCTTGGCATCTGCCTCCATCTTGTCCAACATTAGAGCCACGACATTTTGGTACTTCTTCCAGAAGTTGAAGCCGTTAGGTTCCAGGCCAGGGGTCCTTTCTAGCCACCGCTGAAACACACCGCGGATACGTAGTTAGATACTGCACTAGGTAGTCTGCATTTTCGTTATCCGGGAAAAGGCCACCATTGGTCACGTTCCCAGGCACCCAAGCTAAGGCGATACTGAGAAATTCTTCAATTGACGTCCTCAGCCAGCTTTCAAAAGGCATGAAGCTGGAAATAATTGCTTCATCTTATTGCACTACACTCCAGACCGATTATAGGCCCAAGTACAGAACAGTGAAGGTTCCCCCGTGGCGAATGTAAGTGCACGGTCTCGGCTACGTGTTCACGTTCTGCTCCACAGAGATATGTAAATTAGGCATACCGTGTTGAAATACTTTGGCTTACATAATTGTTTCACTCTTTCGTGTATGACTACGTTCCACTTGTTTATAATGTTTGTAAATGTTAACACGTTAATCGCTTTTGCATTTATAATTATGTTTAATATTTCTTTGAGAATGCATGCTATGCTTGCCTCGATGAGCTGCAAGAGCGTGGGTTCCTTCTCAGACTCCCGTATCATGTTGATGGCCGTCGGATCCTCGAAGACTTTTTGGTAGTGCTGCTTCCCGTAGTTCACTCGGAGTTCCTGTGCTCGAATGAAATGGTGCGGATGCTTCAGTAAAGTGTAGGGATACACTCTAAGGAAACGTTTTCAGGGTTATTTTACGCGTGCCCCTGAGAAAATAATGAAATTTTCCTCTGTGTTTAGAAGTTTTGATTGTTTTGGAAAGTATGTATTGTTTTTGATGTAGCATTTATCCAATAAATTTGGAAGTGGAACCAATTCTTTTTTTTAAGAAACGTCTTCAAAAGTTAACCGCTGGTATAGCCACGGAGGCTGTAAAGCTTTAAATTCAAGCTCTGAAATATCTCGAGTGCAAATCGCTCTCTGATATAATAGCATAATAATTCAGGTTCCTTACTGATTTGGTGCACTCCGCAAAAGTATTTACGAGCAGTTTGTGTACTGAAAGTTACGAGCTCTTCCTTTTCCAGTCTCAGCTTCCTGGCACATCTTTCCAGTAGGTGAGATTTAATATTTTTTGGGAATCACGGCCTCTAGGTATAGTCAGGGTATGAGCATATTAACAGTCTACGCACCCACAAAGAGAGAAAAAAACAAAAAACTTATTTTCTACTTCTAAACACACTCAGCAAAGGCGTAGTCCTCCACAGGTGTCTACTACGGAGTAGTTTACAATATATTTCTGTTTCATCGCATACACGCTGCGGCTAAAAAAAAAACAACAACAACAAATACCTGATATACCATGAAATGATTGCCTCACTATCGCTAGATATTGTTAAGAACGAATTCTGGAGGTTCATAACCCATGAAACACTTAATAGCTTGTACGCCTTACCAAATTCAACATTCAAAAAAAAAAAATACTGGAGCGTTTAACAGCTTATACCGGGCTAGAGTGTTCGGTTGTAAGACTGAACAGGAAGTCACGTGGTCTGGTGCCGATTGAGGGGCGGCATAATGCAGCCATGATCATCATGGCCACACGTTTCGTGCAACTTTTGACTGCCTGCATTGCGACGACCTGTAAGTTGTGATTACCACCGGAATACCTCCGATATCTATATAACTACTCTGAAGGCTCTTGCTCTATTTGTAAGATCAGTTCCACGCGCCATTTATGCGAAATGGTCGAACTTAAGCTAAATCACTGTCAAAGCTATTTTAAACCAAAAAAAAAAAAATATGGGTGTAAAAAAAAAAAAAAGACACTTCACAGTTTCTGAAAAGTGTTTTTTTTTTTCCTCGAACATTTTAGTTTTAGAAGTTTTTGAAAGTATTCGCGGAAACACCCTGTATAACTTACGCCCTGCATTTTTAAAGTGGTCGATCATTAATAATTATTGATGTTGCCGAGTATGTACATACTTGAATCCCACTCGTGTTCAGTACGCTTGTGTACAGTGCAGCATATTCGAACCCGATATCGTTTCATGGCCCCGTTAGCAATTACTAGCCAAGGTTTCGTTATATAAAATTTCGACATTCGTGTTTGAAGGGCTAGTGTCCTGCGACAACGAAATGCCTGCTGCTCGTAAAAACAAAAATAAAAATACAAGAAGAAAGCAAGCCAGTTTTAATAGACTTCAAACTCGCTTACGTTTTTGACACCCAGCTTGTTTTCGATGAGGCGGAACTGTAGGCTCTGGAAACCGGACGCGGGTGCGAGGTAGCCCCTGGTGGCATTAAAACAAAGATAAATTGAAACATGTAAAAATGAGCAAAAAAAAAAAAAAAAAAGAAAAGAACTTTGGAAGTTTGAGTACAAACGGTAAGGCACTTTTCTCGCGTAACTTCTCAGTTGAGCCCGGCATAACTCTAATCCTTAGTTTTCAATTGAAGGACATGGGAAATCTCGACGCCTTTTCTTTCGATTTAAGATTATTGAGGCGAACATGTGAAAAAGAGATGCCGAATCGAATCTTAAAGCACGGAGTTTTCCTTTGCCTTTTAAGCCGTAGTCCACGTTCGAATGAAACTGAAATATTCTGAAAACCAGAGCTGTCACGCGGCGTTACGGCACCGCGACTTGGTGTCGTGACGTGACATGGCACCATAGCTCGACACTGTCACGCCGCACGACCACGTCGTGTGTTGTTATGGTGACGTCAGGAGACAACGGGACTCGATGTCGTGACGTCAGATCACGTGACACCACACGTCACGCGACGACATCATGTAGTCACGCTGCCCAAATTTACGGTATTTCGCCCGTGCAGACTGCACACGCGGGGACGCTTAAACGGAAAATCAAAATCACGTTGTTTTTTTTTTCTTTTCGAAGATCTTACCTGAATTCCATGAAGTCCAACGGAGTCATCGTTTCGAGGATTTCCACTTGTTCTTGGAGCAGCTGGAGGTGACAAAACAGACGCGACGTTTACGTCGAGGTCGCAGTCGTCCTTGGATTCCGGCTCGAGTGGAAAAATAATTGTGTTGCGCAATAGCCTCCTTTATACTGACAAAGCCTGGCAGATCGCCATGAAAAGTGGCAGCCGAAATAGAAAAGGATGGAGCGGCAGACAACGGATGAGAGGAGAGCCACGTGACTGGTGCCCCGCTGCGGCGAGACACCGAAACACACTTCTCCCGAGCGAACAAGTGTGTTTCGGGTCCTCGCCGCTGCAAAAGCTGTGCGCTGACGTCCAGGTTCCCCGAGAAATGGCTCTTTGATGCTCTGTGCTACCAGATCCTCGCGCTCCAAATCTGCGACCGGGCACTCTAAGGCTCCGTCGTCGAACTGCCAGGCTTTGTGAGTATAGAGGAGGCTATGGTTACACGTATGTTTGGTCGGCGGGAACCTAGTCAACCCAAATGGGCGTCTGGTGTCTCAGTCGTATAGAAAAGTTTTGTTAGTGCAGCCGGGAGACTTTAACGAGCACCACGCAGAAGTGATTACACGAACACGCGCCGGTACGATGATCGTCCAGATCGAGACTGGCAGGGGCGGGGGTTGAGCGGCTCAAGTGCGAGCGCAGCTCACAGATGGTGTGAAAACAGGCTTACCTTTAGAATGAGGACCACCCGGTTCATCCGTGACGTTATTTGAAACATGTTGGATTCATTGACTTCCTGTAACGTAAGGAAGAGCGTGTGCGTTGGGAGGCGTCTGTCAAGAAATCGACTGGATAGAATTGCCCGAACGAGGTTTGGCGAACAAAAAGTGTAATATCATAATTTGCATGGTGCGAGTTCACTTGCGATTTCGCAGTTGCGACGTCGCTTTTTGCGGCAAAAAAAAAAAAAAAAAAGGCGTGGTGCAAGTTTTGGTGTTGAACGTCGCATCTGCGAAATTCAAGTCAAATCCCACCATATCATTCAGGCCCGTGACGTCTTTAGAAATCACCGTATATTAACTATTCAAAAATGTTGTAAAGAATAAGTTATCTTGATTCATTTATAATCAGATCAAATTGGAACCGACTGCCTTTTTCAGTAAGTATATTTGGAAAGATCATTCATACAATTTTCGGCACGCGAGCTACAGAAAGCGAAAAATAGGCACAGACTATGGTATGCAAAAATTAGAATATCAAATACCCGCGCTTTTAAATGATCACCCTGATCTCATGACCATCATTCAGGGAGGTATGTGTGTACAAGCTTTAAGGGAAAACATAAATGTGTATCTATTGTCACTTCAAAACTAACAAGTTTTTTTTTTTCTTTTAAATGCGCGGGTGCTGTTTGTTTTTTTTTTGTTTTTTTTTTGCAATGATTGGCTGGAAGGCTGGCTGGCTCTACTACACTCTAAAAAAAGTCTGTGCGCCTACTTTCACACACTACACTCGGAGAGCCAATCAGCGCAACTTACGGAGGCAGCTCAGTGAATGTCGATGCCACAGCATATGTTTAGACCAAAAAACACAGTCTGAGTTGTGACATTAAGCAATGCAAAACGTCACGCCTTGCATTGCTTAATATCACAACTCAGTCTGCGTTTTTTGGTCTGAACAAATGTTTCGGCATTGTCATTCGCTGAGCTGCCTCCGTAAGTTGCGCTGATTGGCTCTCTGAGTGTTGTGCGGGAAAGTAAACTCACCGGCTTTTTTTTAGAGTGTATCTTGTTGCGTGTGGCCCCTATGTCTGCCGTGTTTGTGCAGGCATAAAAAAATGTGAGTCTTTTTTTGTCATGGCGTGGGTGACAATCTGGTTTTACTTCCTCGGTTTTTTTGTCTTCGTATACAGTGGTTTCTTTTTACTGCTTATCTGTTTTTATGTATCATCTGTCATGATGAAGTAGTTTTCGTCCTCTGTCATACATTAATTTTCGTCTGAGCATGCTGGATGGTTTGGCCGTGAAAGGAAAAGGGGGGGGGGGGGGCTGTCGCCTTGTCAGCCATCTCGATGCCTTTTGTGGCGGCTCCCCAGACATCTGTATTCCTCAACGGTTGTCTTAAGAAACTTTGACTTTGACTTTGATTTTCCGCCAGCAACGAGTCGATTTCGCCACTCTACTCCAAACTCCACTTTTTGCCTGCGTGGATCCTTCCGCGAATCCACCCGCGAATCCGCCCGCCAATCCGCCCGCCAATCCGCCCGCCAATCCGCCCGCGAATCCGCCCGCGAATCCGCCCGCGAATCCGCCCGCGAATCCGCCCGCGAATCCGCCCGCGAATCCGCCCGCGAATCCGCCCGCGAATCCGCCCGCGAATCCGCCCGCGAATCCGCCCGCGAATCCGCCCGCGAATCCGCCCGCGAATCCGCCCGCGAATCCGCCCGCGAATCCGCCCGCGAATCCGCCCGCGAATTCGCCCGCGAATCCGCCCGCGAATCCGCAAGTGCAAACTCGCCATTAGAACGTCTCCAACCAGCTATCGTCAAGTGTGATTACCTTTGTGTGGAGAAGTGGTCGGATTGAGTCCAGCTCGAAGAGAATCTGCTTAAACCAAAGTTCGTAAGCTGAAAAAAAAAGAAAGAAAAAGTGAAGTGTGAGTGTTTTTTGTCGAAGGTGCCGACTCAGTAGTTGCTGCAGACTCGATTTGTGATATGCAGAACGATCCAACAGATTTACTGATCAGTGCTGCATCTGAATTCCGCGCAGTTTACGAACGAGCAGTGGAGCAACATTTCTGAAACAGTGCCTTTGAGAACACTGCTCTGCATCCATTCAAACCGATATGTCTCGTTTCATTGGTTGGGGCTGCTCTCGGTATTCAAGCATGCCGCTGGGGTCTCTTTATGGCGTAAACGCACGTTATGATGGCGTGAGCATAGAGTGGTACAGCAAATAGACGAGGGGTGTCACGAACCTTTGTTCGAACTTGAGGTTCGCCGAACCTTCGAGCTTTTGGCGAACTTCGACGAGGTTCGACTTTTGAACAGTCTTGCCAGACTTGTACACTAAGCTTCAAATTTCGCGAAAATAAAAATAATTTATGCAGTAGTTCTAAGCTTTCCACAAGATATAATCAAACCATAATATTTTAATAATTAAGCTAGCGTTTTTTTTTCGCAAGTGAAGCAAGGAACCAGTTAACTATTGCACCTATTATCCGCCACCAGGTGGCGTCGGCTCATTTTTAAATTTTCCCATATGCGCATAAATAGGCGAACTTTTGTCAAACATTTGTCGATATTTGAGTTATAATTTCGAAAAAGGTCTACCTTGAACCTTGGCAGGTTTGCGACAAACCGCTCGCCACCACAATGAAGACCTGTTTTGGTTGTCATTTTTAGCTCCGCGATTGATTTCTCTTTCTTTCTTTTTCTCTCTCCCTCTCTTTTTTTGTAGAGCTTGGAATGTTGTTAACAGCTAGTACCCTCTAATTCCAAGCTTTTGTCCGTCTGTCCGTCTGTGAAGTTCCCCGCAAAATATAGCGAAGAAATTGACGCAATACGTAACTGTCGTGGCATCCCGATATCAAGGGGTGCCGCGTCTCGGGACCCCGTCACGTGACGTCATGGTATTACGTGACGCCCAGTTAGTGGGAGATCGGATAAACCACACGGTCCTCACTCCCCGAAGCGATTGTTTAATGTTTTTTCAATAAATGTTGACTATCGCTCTGTAAATTCTGTATTCCGTGTATTGTAGCAGTTCTTTTTGTGTCTCCTGTCTGTTTTGTAGTTGTTCGAAGCATAGAGGTAGATCCGAAGAAAACCTACCCTGGTGCGTGATGATGAAGAGGTGCTCGTCGTGGACCCGCTCTTTGCCGTGATGTTCCGAGACCATCTGCTGGCAGTCGAGAAGCTGGTGCAACTGGAGAAACCGACGTACAAAGAACAAAGCAAAAAAACACTAGGCTTAGATAAATAGAAGTGGTAGCCTACAAGGGTATTGTGTTTCTATGCGGTTGATTTGGAGGAACCATAGAGCCACTAAATACGCCTCGCAAGTGGGCTGATTTTCGTCTTCTGCGCATGAGAAAAGAAGTAGCGGTGACGTCAGAACGCCGAGCCCTGATTGGCTGATGACGACCCCCTATCTGAGCGTCGTCTGCTCCTTTGCAACGTTGTCTGCTCGCAACGTCGTCTGCGTCTGTCTTACCTTTCCTGCGACATTCGGAGCTCGACTTCGTTTTTCAGAGCGAGCAGACGAAATAACTCGAGCGGTACGTTGTTTTTGTCTAACAACTAGCAGACACGCATAAAGGGGGAAGTCAAAGGACTCACTGGCGAGGTGTCCCGAGGCGCCGAGGTTTGTTTGCTAAGAACCGAGAGTGAGCGTGTTAGTGTCCGCAAGTTCCCTCCCAAATACTTGTTCCCCCCTTTCGTGTGCGGCGAGACTCCTCACTCTTTAACGGCGTCGGCGGGTTGGCGCAGTTAACGTCGTCTGCTTTACGTCTGCTAGTCAAAGCGATGGCTGCTTTACCTTTCCGGCGTCTGTCGGTGATTCACCGCCTTTTCACCGGCGAGAGTCACCGTTGCCTCGGGAAACAAAGAGATAACAAGAGGAAGAAATTACCTCTTAATCTAAAATTGAAGTCAGCGATCAAAGTATAATACGGGAAAGGTTCACAAGGGTTGCGCGGGCATATTCCATTCAGCACGCCAGCCGGTCGTGGGCAGACGGTCGCCGAATCGCGGGGTGCCTGCTAGGCCTAACTGCAAAGCTCGCTTGGTCGCGTTCGGTGGAATCGTGGACGTTGGAGCTTTTCCCGGGTGTATGTGGATCCAGCGTTCTTGTTCGTCGTGGTCTGGTTTAAGTACTTTTTCCTTTTTTCTTGCTGCATGAAGTCGGGACGCGTGAGAAGCGCACGTAGAAAAATAAACGTCCGTGGGTCGTCGCGACCGCGACGCTGTCGGCCATGCTGATTTGATCGTAAGAAGTGCGTAAGACTGCTTCGGAGCTGTTGTAAGATTTCGTCGTAACCTGCGCAAAACTTACGAAAATTTCGTTATGTGAATACTAATTTGTTCTCAAATTTTGTCTTGCGCATTGTTTTGGCGTCGTCGCAGGAAAGGTGAGACAGACGCAGACGACGTTGCGAGCAGACGACGTTGCAAAGGAGCAGACGACGCTCAGATAGGGGGTCGCGATCAGCCAATCAGGACTCGGCGTTCTGACGTCACCGCTACCCCCTGCGCAAGAAGCAGACGAACTTGCCCTCCGCATAGGTTGAGAGCAGACTTGTGCCTATCTCAAATACTCTACTCAAGATACTGTATTTCAAATACTTTTTGAAGTATTTTGGTATCTTGGAAATACTTTTCGATCGAGAGTACTTGATACTCTATCTTAATTACATTTCTGAGTATCTTGTACTCATTATCTCAAATACATTTTTGACAATCCGCCATTTTCCGAGTTTTTCGGTATGAAGTGGCGTGGGCGTGGCACGAGCAAACGTGAACATTCTTTCGAGTAACCAAATCCTGTAGCTAGCTCCGATTAGCTACGGTGATTTTGACAGAGCTCGTGAAAGAAAACATAGTTTTTTTTTGCCGATTGTGACTCATATTTCAGCCCAAAGTTTTTCACAATGAAGGTTTTTCCCTCGCCTTCCCAAAGGTGCCTTTTGTTTTCTAGAGTTTCCCCCAAAAAATCTTCATACAAAAGGGGTGGTTTTACGGAAGTTAGGATTGCCCCTCTGAGGCGGAACGCAGACTGGGAAACGACCACCGACAACAATGCAGACTTGAGTGTCAAGAAATTAACCCCAAAAGAGAAGACATTTTTGTTTTGCTTGTTGTATATTTGGCCCCGCTACTGCAAAACGCTAGGCTTTCTTTTGTTTATTTTCTTTTTGTCGTCAGTCCGTCACTTATGGCTCTCGCAGACACTGTCTGTAAGCGAACATTGATAAGCAGAGAACAGGACAGGAAACGAACTAAGAGCTGGATGACCTCTCAACATCTATAGGTGAAGGCAATAGCGCGGGTTTCCCTGCGTCACCCACAAAGGGCCAACCCGGGGTGCAAACTGAACACGAGTTTCTGCCTGCCGTTCACGTATAACACTCGTGCCCAATCTGCCCCGCGCTGGCCTCTTGTAGGTGACGTCACAAATCGAGCGTTTCGGCCTTGGCTGTCGAGGCGGTGGCGGCCCTTCACGCTGCCGGAAGTGTCACGTCTTCGCGTGACGCTGCACTCCACGCGTTCCCCGGTCGAAATGAGTGGCGGCAGTTTAATGACGCGTGCGTGTGTGACGTCACCTTCAGGTAGTCTCCGTAGAGTAGAAGCCTCCGCGAGGAACTTCCGGGGGCGTGGATCCCATTCCGTGCGCTGCAACAAACGGAAATCACGCCACGGTTAAGACGCTTGGACAGTCACGGAACGTCGCGCGTTCCCGACAATGAAACCCCCACTTTTTCTTTTTTTGTGAAGCCGCCGCTTTTGCTTCATGACAGCTTTTAGTCAATGCTGAACGGCAGCATTAAGCGAAAAATAGAGACTCTAACCAAAAATTTTAATCAACATTTACCCGACGTTTTGCTTAATGTCTATTCCTAACCAGGCAGGGGGCTGCCGAACGTTCACCTTCTAAACGCAGCATCGAAAAATAATCGCACTGATGCAAATCCGGGTCTGCCGGGGCTGTGTTCTTGGCTTAGGGAGCTAAGCTAACAGGCACCAAACGCACCGACAAATCCCGGAAGTCGGGCGTCTACTGGGCTTCCTAGTGCATTCAGTCGATGTTTTTGTTCGTAATTTCCGGTGTCTTTGAGGTTTGCTTTTGTTTTTAAATAATCATACTCCGAATGAAATGAGCTGTGCAATGATATTAAGGTTGAAAGAATTGGCATCTTCTACTTTTGACATTGTTAATCTTGTAACAAAGGACAGAAAACACACCTCCTTCCTTCGAAATGTTGCGATTCCGCCGCGTACAGGTACAAGGCTTCCGAAACCGCTAGCCTTGTACCTGCTCCACGAGACTTTAGTGCAGTACTACGCTTCTCACGCACTCAAAGTCTTTCTGAAAATTACTGATTTAGGAGTTTTGGACGACGCTCAGCAACTTTCTAATTGGAACCATATGCCGATTTCCCCTAATTGAAAAGTTAAGAAGTGAATTTCAATTAATTAGCCGACTTATCGCAAAGATTAGCCACACACATACTGTCCCCCTGGTCGTATAACTCACTCGCACAAACCGCATAAGTGTAGCTTTCATGGCTTTTTTTAAAAACAAATGCGCAAGAATAAAAAAAAACACCCTGTATATAAAGGTTGCCTTATTTGATTGGCACATATCTGGCCTGATATGGGAGGCAGATATACACCTATTTGGCAGACCCAGATATGGATATATAAAAAAATTGGGCATATCTGGCTAGATAAGCCTGATATGAACTGATATGCTCGATATGGCTAGATATGCCCAATTTTTTATATAACCTTATTTGTTTTGTTTATTATATAAGTCCAGATATGCCATTTTCGTAAGGGAGCGCACGTGACTCTGAAGCTGGTGAAGGAGTTGAGAGGTACCGAAAACCTCAATCTTTCTCCCTTTTTAAAAGTAAAAACTAGGACATGCAGGCAAGAGCGGTTTTTTGTGCTTTACTTCAAAAAGCTAGAGACACCAGCTCCCAAATTATTAAAGAAAATCACTGAAACTGTTGCACAGCTTCTTTAAATCCCGAAAATGAGGCATTTGAACTTGGGACATATGCACACTTGATCAACTAAAATCTAAAAATGTTTACATTGAGTGGTTTCCCATGATACTTTTTGGGTCTGCATGCGCTCTTACTACGCAACGAGCAAGCTCTTTTGAGGTGACAACCGAAAATCCAGCGCCCTCAACGCTTTTTGAACCCGCACCCAGAAGGCCCACAGAGCCTGCCAAGCGCACACTTCCGGAACAAGCCGCTTACTTACGGTGACTTCAGTCACGAACGCTCGACGCGTCATCCAGCCCCCTATAGTAGAGATCAGTGCTGGCTCTCGTCTACGGCAGAGACACCATACGTCCATTGGGGTTGTCTACTTCCCTGTAGATAAACGTACGCACCACACATTTTTTTTGTGTATGCAATAGACTTTCTTCTAAATTACCGAAGCAGTGTGTTGTTTGTGTAGTTTACACGCGCTGCAAGTGCGCGCAGTATGCATGTAGAGGTGCCTCTGGCAGGGCTTCAACATTACTAGATTTGCTCAGTTACGGAACTGCTCATAGACTCTGCTTGCAAGAACAACGGGGGGGGGGGGGGGGGCGGGGGGGGCTCGCCTCACGTCATTCGACGCTCTAGATAGCGTTTCACCGTACTCTATGGAAAACACAATTTTGAAACAAAATACTTAGGAGTTATCGGCGCAGGCATGAATTTCGCTTACAGTAGTGATACTTTTTGTTTTGCTGGAGCATTAACGCAACTGCTTTATTTCTGTGCATTCTAAATTGAGCAAGTCCCGCTTCTTTATTGTATACCGAGTATGCTGGGAGTCAGCCAGGGACAGAATGGCATTGTTAAGTAGGTTTTTCTCCTTTTTAAGCTACTCTCTCTAATCAGTCTTTTTAAAGCCTCGATGAGAGGATGGCAATGTTAATTAGCATTCATATCACCTAAGTCAGAGAAATGTACTTGAGAGAGCAGACGTGAGAATAATTTGAACTCAATCCTCGTAGTTGATTCCGAGTTTTATCTCACGAACGGGAGTGCTCTGGTCGGCATATTATAAGAACGCAACGGGAAGATGATCGGCAAGAGCTCTTTCGTATACTCCGGTTAGGCTATGCGTTGATTCGAAGTTGCACATAACGTGATATAAGCGAGTAGAAGTAGTACTCGTAATACCTGTAGGGGTGTCAATGTACTTTTGAAAGCCAAGAGTATCTAGCAGGTTTGGGTAGTCACCGTGAGTAGTGCCTAAGATATCTATATTCATATATCCTATTATAACGGCCCTTTTAGAATTATTAATTAGCAAAGTAAAAACTCTTTCAAGATCATTTAGATTAGAAACTCATTCGTATCAGCCTGTGGTGGGCGATACACTACACCTATACAGCAACATCTAGTTCCATAAACATGAACTCACATTTATAATTTATAGCTTTAGATAACCGTGGACTGTATTTTTATGTAATCGAGTTCCACATGTAGAGACCAACGCCACCTCCTCTTGTTTTGGCTACGAGGGCGAGATAAAAAAGGTGTAACCAGGGATATTAAAACATTTGTTAGGCATTAGCGATGTTTCAGTTATAGCTCTAACATCGTACAGATAGTGATGCTGAGCCAAAACAGAAAAACAACCGTCAGGCATCAGCCATGTTTCAGTCACAGCCATAACATCGTACAGATAGTGTTGCTGAGAAACCAAGAAAAAAAAGAACATCAAAATTCTTAGATAAGCTTCTAATATTACAGTGCAATAGTGATCGTGAGTTATAGCGTGTGTGCAAAACTCATCTACAAGACTATAGCTGTCAACATTCAGGGGCGTTCAAGCAATCTGTTCAAGGTCTGGTTCAGTGACTATGCGAATCACGGCCGTATTATCTGCTTTGCGCATCGACATTTTGTCTCTGGACACCCAGGCGTACACCCGCCGGCAATAGGAAGGTGAACGCCTTACCTGGTTTCTTACCTGTTTTACGGCTGTCTAAAGCTATATTAACTCTCAACGTCTCAAATGGTACGTGGCCAAGGGTCTAAACATTGCGTCCTAGCCCTCTTCTGGAACAGAGCTTGTTCCAAAACTTGCAGGAGCGTCAAAAACAAGAAGAGGGCTGTTCACCTTCATATCGCTCACGGGTGTACCGCCAGTTGTGTCGTTTCTTAGCCACGAATTCCCCTAGCAGCGACTTATTTTCTCGGCAAAGGTGCTGGTTGACTGGCGTTGCTCTGTCAAACCCCAAATCTGCGACCGTCACACGCTTCTTTCTTGGGGCCTCGAACAAGTTATTTCGAGCGTTGCAAGACATAAACTTGAGGGTAATATTTGGTGGTTTATCTTTAGTTGGAATCCTGCGAACAACGTAGATGTCAGCCTTTCTTACAGTCGCGCCAACTTTTGTGCCAAGGGCGAGAGCGATATCAACCAATGACTCTCCGGGAGGCTCAAGAACGCCCTTCAGTTCCAGGTTAGCCCTTCGGCTGTATTGCTGAAGTTCAGTCGGTTCAGCCCTGACGTTCCCGAGTTCTTTTTGAAGGATGCCGCACTTGCCCCCAAGACTTTTTTGTTCTGTTTTAAGCCCCATCAAGTCCTTCTGGTTTTCTTCCCGGGTTTTCTTGAAGCTATGGAATTCGACCTTTAACGAGCCCAGTTCCTGTTTTACTGTTATGTCCAGTGCCTCGACCCGTTTATTGAGCTCCACTAGAAGAGACGCAATCTCTTTCACAGTGTAGGATATTTGTCGGCTTGTCTCCTGGAACAGGGAGGTATGGCGATTTCCAGTTATACCTGGACGTGGACAAGCTCTCTCTTAGTCTACGTCTCCGAAAGTATTTTCACGGAAGCCCGAGTGATAGTGGCTGCCCCCTTCTCTCAAATAAAAAAAAAAAAAAAAAAAAAAAACCACTGGACATCAAGCAACCAAAGTAACAGGTACTTGGATATGTGCATAGACGTGGTCCAGCGGGAGATTATAGCGTCATTTTAGAAAAGCACGGGCTCCAAGATACAACCTTTCACTCTCCGAAAACAATTGCACCAAAATTCTTTAGCACCATGCAGAGCCGGCATTGTTATTAAGCCAGCCGACATAGGTGTTGCCTTCCAATAAACCCTACAGAAAATCCGCGAACAGACAACAATTCCTTAACTACGATAGCTGCCACCCCTGCCACTGCAAAAATAGTTTGTCCTATTCTCAGGCGCTCAGATAGAAACGGATATGCAGCAACGAACAAGACTTCAATTAAAACGCAGATAATCTAACGGCAACACTTATTAGACGAAATTACCCACCAGGCGTCATAAACAGTGCAATAGAAAAAGTTAGCACACTATACCGCACGACAGCCATCCCCCCCCCCCCCCAAAAAAAAAAAAAAAAAAAAAAAAAACGTTCAAAATTTAGAGAATAATTAATATGATTCAGTGCTGACCTACACAAGTAACCTTCACGACATCAACAACACCCTACGCAAAATTTTTAATATTCTCTCACAAAACCAATGCCTTCGATCTGTCTTTCCGCAAGCGCCACGCGTCGTCTACGGTCAAGGGAGAAAAAAAAAAAAAAAAACCTTAAAGACATTCTAGTACTATCCAAAACTACACATAAGGAGCTCCTCGGATCTCGGCCATGCCATGTGCAGCCACATGACGGAATCCGGGGAGGCAAAAAGCACCAATTCGGACTTTACCTTCAGGATAAACGGAAATTAAACTGTAACACAGCTAATGCTGTCTATCTATTGCACTGTCGGGTATGCAACGTGCAGTATATAGCACGGACCGATCTCTTTTTCCGTCTAAGAGTTCACAATCACCAGTACCACCTGAACACAATCCCCAAGCTCCCGTTCTCCAAACGTATGCGTCTCGATGAACACCACATAAAGGAAATATTCGCAGCCATACTTTAATCTTGATTCAGTACAGCACGCGAGAGGGAGCAAAGAGAATCGTACCTAATTAAAAAGTTTAACACGCTTCGAGTGGGAATTAACGAAAGCGCCGGTCTCCTTAGTTGCTTGCATCTTGAACAGTCCTCGGAACCTTCACATTGACGGGAAAGTGAACAGACGGAGTCTCCTGCTTAGAGATCTCCCCGCACTGGACATTATTATGACCTCGAGGAGTGTCTTCGCTCTCGGGTACGAGATGGGCAGGCGGGCGGTGAGGAAAATAGAAAAAGAGGGGTGTGGGGGGAGGGGGGGGGGGAGGGCTCGCACGCTTGCATGCAACATTAGGACCTGATGGAGAGCGGTCACCGCTCGGAACGTCGTCCAATAAACATATGAGCACATCTTAGGCGATCCCTTTCTGAGCTGCTATATATATATATATATATATATATATATATATATATATATATATATATAGAGAGAGAGAGAGAGAGATATACATATATATATATATACCTGTCAGACGCATCTGTACTGCTGGCAAAAGGTTGTGCCTTTGTCTGCACTGTAGACATTTGTGAAGCGAGCGCTCAAACAAGGCGATGACGAACGCGCAGAAAAGTGTCCTTTATTTTAAATTTTTGCTTAAAAAAAAAAATATATATATATATATATATATATATATATATATCAGTGTGTCGAACCGAAAAAAATACGGGTTCGGTTACGGTTCAGGTTCAGGTAAATTAATTTTGTTCCGGTTCAGTTCCGGTTCGGTTAATTCGATCCGCGAACCGGTTCGCGAACCGGTTCGGGGCGCTGAACCGGTTCGCGAACCGGTTCGGAAATTGTAAATGACAGATTGCAACATCAAAATAAATTACAAATAAAACATCTGAAATCAGCACATACGAAACGGGATACATCGTAGTGTAAGGCTCAGGGATTTCTACCTGGAATGGTTTCTTTATGTGCACTCAAAGGTTACCTCACCGACGTTTGCGCATTCGGACTTCATCTAATTGGGTCCGACGCAGTAGCTGTAAAATCCGCGACCTCCTTACAAACCCACTTACAAGTAAGTAGAACTCGCTAACTATCCCGCCACCTCGGCCTGTAAGCAATTGAAGGAACAGTGGGGAGAAAATACAGCTTTCTTTTTTTGAACTAGCCTTCGGTAATTCAAATTAGACCCTTAAAGAAGTTTTCATTAAACAAGATACGGAATATGAAAAACACTTCACCGAACGCAACGCCAGAAGGACGTAATATAGATAAATATTAAAATAGAAGAGTTCGCTGTCTCACAAATATGTTAGCTTCTAAGTGCCTATACTGAACCGGATGCATTATTATCAAACTCCACAGCCTTTTCTTTTCTCATTCCGATGGAAGCAAGCTTCAAGAACTCGCGCGTTCTAGAAACGTGTTACGAAATGAGCACACAGCAGCATTTAGAATTTACGAGATTGTAGAAAAAGAAAATCCCGTGACGCGAT